AGAGAGCCTGAGGGTTTCCCGCACCCTCTCCCTCGAGAGGACGCCCGCTGATGCTCCACAGCCCCACTTGCGAGCCTTCAAAAGAAATTCTCCCCCCGCCGCCGGTCTAATCGGCTGAAATTCCCGACTGTAAACAAATGGTGGAGATAAACAGCCTGGCTCCCGGCAGATTGAGGTCAGGCCGCACTTCAGCTGCTTTTCATCTGCATTTTTTCTAATTAGGACTTAATCTTAAATACTAATGCACAGGGGCAGATACCCCCACGGGTGCCCAGCTCACTTACAAAGGCGGCAGCGGTTCTTTCCTTTGGCTCCAAGACCCATAGTCTAAGAGATGCTCAGTTGATGGGACAGAGACCAATGACCCATGCCCTCTTCTTAAAGCATAAAATCCAGCTAAATCCTGTTTCACTCCGCGCAAATCCACGGTCTGATCTGGTCCCAGACACGGCCGGGATGCAGCATTTGTACAAATCATCACTGATTGAAAAGGTCCCCAAAAAGGGCCCATTTCCTCCTTCCTAGAGCAGAGCCAGGAAAAGGGCTGGTCGGATCGGACAGACAAGGCTTTATGCCGAAGACGCGTCGGTCGAATTGCAAATTGGGGAACGTCCGAATTGCACCAAGCAAACGCTCCTGCTAGCGGCCGCCCAGATCGGTGTTTGTGTCAAGCTAGAAATCTCCCAAACCCTATTCCTAAATCTTCCTTCACCTTCACATCGTGGCAGCGAGTCCCACAGGTTACTACAAGAATGAAGGAAGTGGAAGGGGCCTCACCAAGGTCACAGCTATCCCAGCCCCCTGCTCCAGGCAGGATCTAACCCATCCCAGACACACATCTGTCCAACCGGCTCGTGAAAACTTCCAGGGATGGAGAGCCCACAGCTCCTCTAGGTGCTGTTTCCAATGAGGAAACCTGCTTTCAATGCGGCGTATCAGGCTGCCTGGGCAATGTCACCAAGCATCCCCTTGTTCTTGTTCTTGTTCTTGCACCTGGGGGTGTAGTGGGAGGCTGCGCCGCATTTACAAACCAACAGCTTCAAGTTGCAGCAAAGCTGGTTTAGGTTGGATCTGGGAAATGTTTCTTCACTGTCAGGGCAGGGATAGATGCCCAGGGAAGGGGGGGACTCTCCATCACTGAAGGGGTTCAAGAAGAACTTGGACTTCAGGAAGGCCTTCGATACAGTATCCCACCCCATACTGGTGAACAAGTTAAGAGACTGTGACGTGGATGACTACACAGTCCGGTGGGTGGTGAATTGGCTAGAGGGTCGCACCCAGAGAGTCGTGGTGGATGGGTCGGTTTCGACCTGGAAGGGTGAGGGCAGTGGGGTCCCGCAGGGCTCGGTCCTTGGACCGATACTCTTCAATGTCTTCATCAGCGACTTGGACGAGGGAGTGAAGTGTACTCTGTCCAAGTTTGCGGATGACACAAAGCTATGGGGAGAAGTGGACACTCTGGAGGGCAGGGAACAACTACAAGCAGACCTGGACAGGTTGGACACGTGGGCGGAAAACAACAGAATGCAGTTCAACAAGGAGAAACGCAAAGTGCTGCACCTAGGGAGGAAAAATGTCCTGCACACCTACAGCCTAGGGAATGACCTGCTGGGTGGCACGGAAGTGGAAAGGGATGTTCGAGTCCTAGTGGACTCCAAGATGAACATGAGTCGGCAGTGTGACGAAGCCATCAGAAAAGCCAATGGCACTTTATCGTGCATCAGGAGATGCATGACGAACAGATCCAAGGAGGTGATACTTCCCCTCTATCGGGCGCTGGTCAGACCGCAGTTGGAGTACTGCGTGCAATTCTGGGCGCCGCACTTCAAGAGGGATGCGGATAACCTGGAGAGGGTCCAGAGAAGGGCCAACTCGTATGGTTAAGGGCTTGCAGACCAAGCCCTACGAGGAGAGACTAGAGAACCTGGACCTT